TCTTTTCAGTCACTAAAAGCTAACAGTTACTAAAAAGCTCGTAAAAGTATCTTTTTAGCTAGTTGTGCCAAACATACCCTACATGGCTTAGTTTTCTATTAATTGTTTTAGTAAGTTGTTGTTGTTGTTGTTTATTAATCATTTGTTAGAGTTAAAATAGGATTCTATCTAGCTGCTAGTATTTTCATTATAATAGGATTAGTTCTTACGGTTAATGGGTATCTATATATACTCATTATTTGACTATTACGATCAATAAGAATTTTACAGCTTATGCTTGGGTTTTCTATCACCGTGAGATAGAATTGGCTTCCTTTACACTGTGAGTAAATGTCTCGGATAATTCCCCAAATGGAATTTCCATCAATTGGTATCAGAGCTCTTTCCCAGGAAGCAACAGCCGTATAAGCTATGACCAATCGGGAGCGCTTCGAACAACTGGAGAATTCAATCGCCCACATCACCGAAACCTTGAATACTTTGCTGTCCGTTAATATGGAAAATTTGAAGAAAGAAAAATCTAGGAAACGATCTCCATCGGTCGCTTCTTCTCGAAGTACCAAATCACCAAGAAGGACTGGACGGAAGAAATTCAAGAATGAAACTTCATCATCATCATCAGCGGTAGGGGTCTCCTCCGAGAATGAGAGTTCGTCATACGGCACTTCAGGGGAATCCGAAGCCAATAGTGGTAAATTCTTTCACAGGAGACCCAAAACAGAGGAGATTCACGATCGTCTAATTACCCGAAATAGGACTAAAAAGGTTTCAAAATTCCAAAATAGGAATGCCATGTTTTTATTCCCAAAATAGGACTAATTACTGTCATGTTTTGGCAGTACCAGACTTCAAACATGGCAGTATATTCCAAACTTGGCAGTAATTGCTCCTATTTTGGGAATAAAAAACATGGCAGTCCTATTTTGGAATTTTCAAACTGTTTTAGTCCTATTTCGGGAACTTTCCCTTAGATTTTCCCAAATTCTCTGAGCTCGATGTGGAAGTGTGGTTGGATAGAGTACGACAGTATTTTGGCGTCAAGGGCATCCAAGGCTAAAAAAATTGCAGCTAGCCTCGTTTCACCTTGAGGAAGAAGCTAATCAGTGGTGACAATGGTTCTCGAACAATCAGCAACATTGGAAGATCTCCTGGGGGCGATTTGAAACAGGTATTCTAAAATGCTTTGGGCCTACCAACTTTTAGGACTATGATGAGCTCTTGAGTAAAATCAGACAAACAAGTTCATAACAGGAGTATTCACAAGAGTTTGAGAGGTTATCTACTCGTGTGAAGGGATGGACTACCAAGGCTCTTTTGGGAATGTTTCTTAGGGGTTTGAAGGTAGAATTATCACTCGATGTCCGCCTTTTTAATCCAAAAAGGTTGTTTGAAGCAATGGAATTGGCAAGAAAAATTGATGAAACGTTTCTTGGGGGTTTGAAGGTAGAATTATCACTGAATGTCCGCCTTTTTAATCCAAAAAGGTTGTTTGAAGCAATGGAATTGGCAAGAAGAATTGATGAAAAACAATAGCGGAGTAAAGGGAGAATAGCAGCAAGTTCTCCTAGATTCAGTGACGGGTGAACAACTCATACTATACAGACTCTAGCTCCCGTAACCAACATACTTAAATCAGCCACCTCCATGACTCCTCAAAGGCTGACAGTGGAAGAGATGCGATCTCGAAGGGAGAAGAATCTGTGCTATAATTGTGATGAACGGGTTGTCCCGGGGTACCGTTGCAAAGCTTCCTAGTTCATCATTATATTGAAGCCGTGGAAGCAAGAACTAGTATACCAGATGAGATAAACGTTAGTGATGACTCTATACCTACTGAGGTACCGCTGCAAATCTCTTTGCATGCTTTGGTAAGAGGCTGTGGCACATGACCCATGCGGGTTCAAGGGCGTATTAAAAATCTGCAGATCAATATTCTCATTAACTCAAGGTCAACACACAATTTTATACATCCAGAAATTGCAGGACGATTGAAGCTTGCTATTTCAGCAATCAAAACCTTTGCTGCCCGGGTTACTAATGGAGACCATCTTTGGTGCCATGAAAAATTCGAAGATGTGCTTATTACCATCCAAGGGTATGAATATCTAACGACTCTATATGCACTACCAATCACTGGAATGGACCTCGTTCTTGGGATGCAGTGGCTAAAAAGCCCTGGAAGAATTGTTTCAGATTATAATGACATGACCATGGAGTTTGAAGTATCTTGAAATAATCACCTAATTCGAGCTAATGCGTACACAACTCCGGGTGGGAGTCTGCTCATGCGCTACTAGAAGATTGGAACCAAAGGGCTGAACTTTTCATTTTGACAAGTGTAAGTACCACCGAGGGCAAGGAAGACCTGCCTCAAACACTACCGCATGAAGTGCAATCCTTATTGGATCAATTCAGGGACTTACTTGAAGCTCCAAAGCACCTGCCCCTTATACTGCTGATGGTCAACCTATTTTTGAACCGGAGAAAGTGCTTCGTTTCCGGCGTTTTCGAACACTGTCAGGAGAAAACAAAGAGGACTTAATACAATGAGCATCTTTTAGTCTAGAAGAGGCGACATGGGAACCTATTGAGACACTGCAACAACAGTTTCCAAACTTCAACCTTGAGGACAAGATTCGTCTTCGGGAGGGAGGCAATGATGAGGTCGATGTCAGGTTGGTCAACGCCAAAGTATGAGGCTTCGTAGGAGCAACATTATGTTGAAGGATTACATGGCTTAGTTTCCTATTAATTGTTTTAGTAAGTAGTTGTTGTTTATTATTAATCATGTGTTAGAGTTAGAATAGGACTCTATCTAGCTGCTAGTATTTTCATCATAATAGGATTAGTTCTTATGGTTAATGTGTATCTATATATAGGGAGTGTTTGGATCTGATTCTCAAAACTGATTCTGCTACTTCAGGGAGCAGAAGCAGATGCTGGAGTGTTTGGGTGAAATTCCAGAAGCACTTCTGGAGCTCTAATTTACTCTCAGAATCAATTTTTTTAGAAGCTGGGAGGTACCAGCTTCTGAAAACTGATTCTGATTCTGCTTCTGCTTCTTTTAAAAGTAGAAGCAGAATCAGTTCCAAACACCTCCATCCCCATACTCATTATTTGACTATTACAATCAATAAGAATTGTACAGCTTATGCTTGGGTTTTCTATCACCGTGAGATAGAATTGGTTTCCTTTACATCGTGAGTCAGTGGCGGATCCAAGATTAAATTTAATTGGGGGCGGAAAAATAAAAAAATGCATCATAAAAATACAATACTACCTTCATCTGATTCTATACGTTTTCTTTTGGTTTGAAACAATTATTAATATAGTGGTTGTAATAATAAAAATTGTAATTGTTCGGGATTTGATTATAATAAAGTGAAATGTTGTAAATCACATATTTTTATGACACTTATTTTGGAATAACCATATACAAAACTAAGATGTAAAATGGGGCGGGAGAAGTAATAAGGTATTAACGTATTATTACGATAGCATATGTTTTAACAAAATACATTATAATTGTTCGCGCTAAGTGTTCATCTTTTCAACGCGAACAATTATGATGTATTTACATGTTCAGAAACTACATTTAAATCTCTTCAAAATTTCAAACTCCAAATTAGAATATAATTGAAAATTGACATCCTAATTAAGCAGATAAAATGGAACTGTTTGACTAAGAAAAGTCAAATTTGCTAATCAATTTGGGACGGAGATAGTATTTTTTAATAACATTTTTGAAAAAAAATCCATTGACCAATCAATAATCCTATAATAAATTAATAACATTATAATAAGTTTAATAACATTATTTAATATTTATGTTTATGTAAAAAATAAAAGTTTGTGTGTATGGCCTTGAAAGTAAACAACACAAATTACACAATCACACATACAAATTACCTATTGAGGACTAAACAACCAAGCAAGTACACAGGCCATTCAAATTGATAAAATGATTAAAAATAAACAGAACTGATGTGCGGGATGGAACGACTAATCTTTTGGCGATAATTATGATTATTTTTCATTCCTGCCATTTTTTTTGTTTTTCTTTTTAGTTCATGATCAATGATAACAACATATGTTTGACCTCGAAATAACCTTGAGTAATAGGTTTTGTCCAATTCTTTGTCATGTTGTTCAAAAAATATTTAAATTTTAATTTGTAGAAATTGTTCAATACATATTTTTAAAATGTGAATAATTAGTTTTACATTCTTTTAACTCTCATATTAGTCTCAAAAAATTTATAAAAGGATAAATCTAAATGTTTCTAGGAGATTTAGACAATCAATAATAACATTTTTCTTACTAGAGTGGTTTTAGAGTTAGCGATGATCTAAAAATAAAAGGGAAAACAGTCAAATAGGTCCTCGAACTTTCATAAAAAAGTCAATTAAGTCCTTCTATAGGAGGTTCTGTCTGGCCATCGCGATTTGGGGCAGTTCCCGGTGGAATTTTTTGATGAATTTTTTTGAGCATCTTATTCAACAAGTCTAGTTTACTCATACCAAATTTCAGCTAAAAATTCAATCGGGAACACATTCAAATTAATTCTTGAAGATAACTGCACATTTTTGCGTTCTCGAATTAATTTGAATGCGCTCCCGATTGAATTTTTAGCTGAAATTTTGTATGAGTAAACTAGACTTGATGAATAAGATGCTCAAAAAATTTCATCAAAAAATTCCACCGGGAACCGCCCCAAATCGTGACGACCAGACAGAGTCTCCTATAAAAGGACTTAATTGACTTTTTTATGAAAGTTCGAGGACCTATTTGACAGTTTTCCCAAAATAAAATAATACATATTACACAGGTGGAAAACAAAAAAGATATTTTGTAAGGTCACAGGAGAATAATGAATATATAATTATTAAATGTTATTTAAAATGTTTATTGTTTCATTAAAAGGAAACAAAAATCTTTATATAGAACGTTCAATAAAGAGAAGTAAGATATTAGGAAGGAATAAATTTTTGGTATATAAGCAAAATTTTTGTACGACTACAAGTGATTGACTCATTGAAAAGTTTGAAACCGGTCAAACCACTGGGAATTTTTCTTCTTCTGCTCCTGCAGCTCTTCTTCTTCCTCTGCCCGCTCAACGCCATGATTTCTCTGAGTGCCACATCTTCACCTCTGCTCCCAGTAAAATATGTCCTCTTGAAACCCTCTCTTACACCGTCCCTTAAACCCCTAAACGAATACCGACACCGCCGCTCCCGGAAAAGCCTTAATCTGGTGCTTATCTCGAAACCCGATTAAATGTTAAATCTGTTAATATAGTTTATGCATCATGGTTTTTCACACCCGCTCTATTTTGGTTGTAGAGAAGATTTGGAGCTGGTAAGTGCAAGGCGCAGTTAGTCAATGATGCGCCTATTGCCGTAGCCATCGGCGCTTGCATTCTCAACTCCCTGGTATTCCCCGTTGCTCCTTCGCCGGATGAGGATGAAACCGACTCGGTGATTGACTCTGCCGATGCCCGATTAGCTGTCATGGGGATAATTAGCTTCATCCCATATTTCAATTGGCTAGTAAGGCTTTCCAGATATATATATTGATATACTAAATACTAATGCTAAGTTCCTGAAAATTTCTGCTTATTAAGCTGAAATAAGGGATTTCCATTCTCTGCTTTAATTCGTTTTTCTGATGGTGCTTTATTTCTAGAGTTGGGTCTTTGCTTGGTTGGATACGAAGAAGAGGCGATATGCTGTGTATGCTATAGTTTATTTGGCTCCTTACTTGAGGTAAAGTACCGGTTATAACATCTAGTAGTTTGGGCTGCTGAAATCTAAGAGTTTATGCATTTTCACTAGCCACTATGTAGAAGAGCTACAATGAGTTTGAAGAGTTTAGGAAAACCAATTCAAGAAAGTTAATGGCTGAAGCTGTTTCTCTTTAAGGTTTTATAAAGGCCTAATGTGGTGGCTGTGGAGAAACATGGGTTGCTTACTTTAGTTGCTTTACTCCTCTGATAAGCTAGACTTGCCTTGCTCATCATTTAGCTGATTGAAGCAGGTGTCTTGACTATCCTTTTTTGATACTATTTGTGAACAAGTAATTAAATTGATACTCGGTAGTTACTTTACCAAAGGCATAGTAGCGAATATGAAATCTTACTAGGGATTAATCTGCGACAACTAAGCTCTATATCATTAGAATTTTAAAAATATATGCTGCAGTATTTTATTAATGTTAGTTTTATTGGTTATATATATTGAAATATATTCACAATAACTAGCATAATTATAAATAGTTAACAATGAATGTCCATGTCACTAGATTACGCGTCATTTGGTGCAAGATCAACGTTATGTCATTATCATCATAATCATCCATGTCACTGACACATATTGAGTGAGAATTTTTAGTGTTAAGAACTACAAATTAAAACTGTAAAAAGTGTTCTATTGAATTGAAGTCCACTAGTTTTTAATATCATAATGCGCCTATTTCTATTTTTAATCTTTTACATTTAGTTACAAGTTTACAACCGAGTTACTGGCCGAGTAACCAGACTCACCAGCTTGCTAAACCAACGAAAGCATGTTGTTTTGGACCAGACTTGGTTGGTAGACAACTTGATTAGGTACGGGGTGAAGTAACAAGTCTTATTGATTAAATAAATTAGAATGGGGAAGTCTAATAGTATAAGGTAGAAGACAATAAAGTAATAAAAGTTGGGTAAGAACCACTGGTTTTATCAACAAGAACATCCAAGCTTGGTCCCAAAAGAGTTTGGGGAACCATAAGTTTGATGAAATGGCTAAAATGCGGTGAGTCATGTAATAAGTAAACTTTCAATGCAGTGACACATTTAGTACATCGCTAATGCCAATTTGAAAGTTCATCTATGAACGATTATATATAACATCTTTATAGCTGCACTTCAGGCATCGCCTATGTACATCTAGTTATTCACGAATATATTGTTGAAGTTACACCTATTTTACTTAAATAATATATTGTTGGAAATTTAGTTCATCATTAAATGAACTGTTAATAAACGCTATACTGTAATAGCGATACCATTATTATATTAGAATCATTTTTATTATTTGTTTCGACAAAAAATAACCTATCAGTAATCTTATTAATATTGTTGATTACATTTAAATTGAAAGTATTATTAGTGGAAACATAAAGACAACAAAAATCAATAGTTTTAAAAGAGCTAGCATCAATGATAGAAGACTATTGCATAACGACTTAACATGTTTTATTTAATTAGTTTACAAAAGGAGATAAAAGAGTAATAAGTAATAGAACCACTCAACCCAAGAAGCTTCAGATCGAATCTTTTTTCTGTTTCGGCTTCTTGTGGCAACAAGCTAATTCAGTGCTGTCATATGGCGTCCATAATGCATGGTGGTGGCGCAAATATTGCAGACTGCCATATGAAGTTTGTGAAGAATGGTGTGTGACTGTGTGTTATGGGGGGTTCCATAGGACCAAATTTTGGCCATCAGCCATAATCCCACATCCACCATTAGGCATTAATAACACTGCCAAGCGCCAGCTATCTAGGGGTGCTATTTTACCAAATACTCTCTTCCTCCCACAATGCAAGACACATTTCGATAAATAAATGGTATGTTTTTTTTTTAAATCTAACCTCCAAAAGTAAGATAAAGTAATATTAGTGCACAAAAAGTTAAAGGTGAAATGATGGATAGTGGGGAAGTACTTAACTTAGTGGAGTTCAATTTAGGAAATTGTTCATATATTTGGGACAATTCAAAAAGGAGAGTGTATTTTACAAAATAGGATGACACCCCATCCAAAATAGGATGACACCCCATCCCTGAGGGCCCCTAGGACTGGCCGGATAATTATGTGGGAGGAAGTAAATTGGACTTTAGGTGAAAATAATCCTTTTTTAACATTATCTAGATTAGTTGCACATTTTGAAACTAATTTGTTAGGCACACTACCATCTTCAAAAATTTATTACAAAAATTGAAGTAATTTGCCGTAAAGGTCTTTCTTGCACTCCATGAGCTTGCTTGAAACGTCTGAGAAGCACTTGTGGATATATAAAATCCTCTGTAATGTAATACGGAGTAGAAGAAAGACCTAACGTGTCTTCTAAGTTATCTTCAAAAATGGTATACTGACTGTCATGACTGATGGCCTAAATTCTGGCATACACTGACATACACAGCCATTCTTAACAAATTTGGGTTGGCACTTGGCAGCCACAATATCTCTGCCTTGCAATCCAACGTTGCCACCATCTAACAGCACTTGATTTGTAATTAATGGTTATGGTGACAGGTTTTACTGTCTTGGTCTCATGGTCTGAATGGAGAAGTTGACTGCTGCTTCAAAGTATATTTAGTGCTCTATTATAGTTCTCTTTTTTTTTTGCATCATTGCAGGTCTAATCTTTCACTGTCTCCTGAGGATAGCTGGCTTCCAGTTGCGAGTATTCTCTTGTGCATCCTCCATATTCAGGTGCTTTATCTTCATCTCACTAAAAATGACGACGGATTAATCCCGATCATTTCCTAATTGTCCATTTCATTTTTGCAGCTTGAAGTCAGTATAAAAAATGGAGACATCCAGGGTTTGCAGTTTTTTAGTGAGAATAGAAAGACAGACAGTACAACATTTGAAGAGGTAGTAAAACCTTTAGCAACATATATGACATAATGGTGAACATGATTCAAGGATCTTCTGTTCAGTATTCTATAAACTTACTTTTTTTTCTTTTAACAGGATATAGCAACTGATCATAAAAATTTGCCTTCAGCACAACGGGGAGATGATGAACGTAAGTGGACAGTTCGTGAAAAGCCTTCTCAAGATCCAGGGAACTTGGATAAAGATAGAGAGGATCCTATGGGAAGCAAGCACTAAGTTAAGATCCTATTGAGGTGAAGTAGAATCAACAGGGATTGTAGTATGTAAATTTTTAGCATATTTAAACTAATTACTTATCAGTTATCACATCCATGAGAGTTTCCTATTTTTTGAAAGTTAATTTACATATTTTGGTATTATTCTACATGAACAAGTAAGCTGAATATGAACTCTGCCTTTTTTTAAATAATGGCAGGCTAGTAGGCAACTTCCTGTAAAGTAGGCATCAAGTAAGCAGAATATGAACTCTTTGAAATGAACAATAGCATACACAGCATATTAATCTACGGTATGGGTCCAGATTTCGTGCCCGTTTCATTTTGTTTCACTGGTAGTCGGAACTCGGTAGGGATGAGGGAGGGTAGAGAGAGTGCATATAAATTGTCGGATTATAATGAATATTAATCGCTTAGCATTTACATGTTCTGTAATGTTGTACATATTTTAGTAGCAGATTTGACCATATTAGAATTAATAGGCTAAATAAAAAACCTCATTTAAGGAAACCACACAAGAATTAATTATACTTTATATAAGGTTGGGCGCATTAAGCTAGTACATTTGTAATACATAATGTTAGAATTCAAATCATTACCCCTTTAGATAAACACAATTAAGGGTTGTTTACTTTTTTTCCGTTAAGTCTTATTTGGATTAAGATGTTTGTCCGTATTAAGACATCTGTCTGGATTAGGTAACATTGTGATACTAAGGGGGTGTTTGGATCTGATTCTTAAAATTGTTCCGCTCCTTTAGTAAGCAAAAGCAGAAGTTGGAGTGTTTGGGTGAAAGTGCAGAAGTGATTCTGGTGCTCTAATGTACTCCTAGAACTAGAATCAGTTTTTGTAGAAGCTGGGGTAGACCAGCTTCTGAAATCTGATTCTGATTTTGATTTTGCTTTAAAAAAGAAGCAGAAGCAGAATCAGTTCCAAACACCCTTTAAGCTGTTTACCATGTATGCTGAATGTGAATGTGTTGTCTGAATGACAATAAGTTACCAATTTTACCGATTTACCCTTCTATCTGTTATTTTAATTCTTTATTCTTTCTCTTTGTAATTCTCAATTTCTCATAGACACAAATTACAATCTTTGAGCTTTCTGCTTATAAGTCGTAATTGCTCGTCATTTGAAATTACTGCCCATTCGCATAACTAACCCTTAACTTTTTCCTTCCAGAAAATCTTAAGCCACTTGATTTTAATTTCAATATCAAACTACGAAGTACAAGGTATCTGCATCGTGGTGTTCAATGGCATCGCTTCAAAATAAATTTTAATTTCACAATTGAAAAGGCAAGATAGCAACATACATACAGCGATATTATAGAAAATTGAAAGTAGATTAATTTGGAAGAGAACAATCAGATTGAGGATACGGAGAGGAGCTGCAATATAAAAAAGATCAAAAATATAAAACAGATATAAATTCAGAGGAAATATCAAGATGAAGAAGGTAGGGTATGAGATTTCGGCTTTCATGATAGCTCGACGACCGGTACCAGTGGCGGAGCCACCATTGTTCAAAGGTGTTCAAGTAAACACCTAAAGTAATGAAAAAATACTAGTATACATATATAAATTTAATATAATTATTTATTGTTCTTTAATTGTACAAAGAAAATGAACACCCAAAATCTCAACTGTAAATCCGCCACTGATGTCCGGTACTCCAATCGGTGAAGCTCGTAGGGTTGTCGAGAGAATAGTGATTCGAGCGCTGAAATAAACGAAGGGAGAATCGGGGTTAAAAAAGAGACTCCTCCCGCATATATACGTTTGAACAAATAAGTCATCACATGTCTCCGCGAATAAATCAATTTCTTTAAAACGTCACAAATAAACATCCCTATATAACTGAATGACTATGTCACTATACTCATTAAGTCTATTAAGTCTCAAGTAAACAGACCCTTGGGTAGAAGTGTAGAACGTGAAACCATTCAACACATGAAATTATCTTTTTAAAACTATCCAACAATTTGATAAGTTCAAATCTTTTAAGTTTTGTTTGAAATGAGCCATGTTTACACATGAATTGGTAACAGGTGTCAAAAGCATTAAGATTAGTATAGGCAAATCAGAGCTGGTCCTATGCTTTTCCAGGCCTGGGTCTGGAAGACTGGAACTTTTTAATGGCTTATTCTAAAAAGTATACTATTAAATTATACTTCTTCAATTACAAAATTAGTATATTAACATTAGGTAGAAAGTCATAATAAGAATAAAAATTACATTTATAGTGAAACTATCAGTTGCATACAAAAACAAAAAGAGTATTTTTTTTTTGCGATGAGACAAATTAAAAAGAGTAATTAAACTATACAACAAAAAATATTCTGAAAACACTTCTTATGGAGCACTATGAATACAATTCTCATTCGATCGAACACCTTCAAAATCATGGAATGCATCTAAAATTGCATAAGAGCAACCGATTGACATATCATTGGAAAATGCGCATAACCGCATACATAAGAAAAATAAATAATTAAAAGGTAACAACTCCGGTACCTTTCTAAAATCAGGGGTACCGTATCTAGCATTTATTTGATTAGACCACATCAATTTATCAATTTTAATTTAGATTTAAATAATTCAACTGCTACGTTTTCATTGGTCCATGTGGACAAAGGTATGGTACCTTATAAGTAAAACTACCTAATTGGTGTATGGTACCTTATAGGTACCATAGAAACTACCTAATTAAAATTATGAGCTTGTAAATTTTTGTATTCACGTATTGGTAAAAATACGTAGAGTTAAAGTTTTGGGCTTGAAAGGGAAAGTAGAAGCATATTCACAAGGTCACAATGTATATAAAACGTAATAATTGGGCCTAATAAAAATTCATTGTTTGGGCCTATGGCAATCTCCCCTCTTGCCCACCCCCAAGGGCCTCCCCTGCCGCAAATGTTGACTCTCACACTTTCCATCCACAAACTTAATACAATTGGGCTTGGGGTACACACAACTCATACACACACCTACACACTATAAATAAGCCCAAAAATTACCATTTTTTTTACCCCTCTCCCTCCCTCACGCTCAAATACAACCCACCCTCTCTTTCCCCACTCCCTCCCCCATCGTTCTTCTTTCTTGTACCCGCAGCACACCTCAACGCATAACAAGCTTCAAAATCAATGGAATCAATAGATTTTGGTGGTTGAAGTTGAGGGAGAACCGGCGGTGGCGGCTGAAGTTGACGGAGAACCGGCGGGTGGCGGCTGAAGTTGACGGAGAACCGGCGGGTGGCAGCTGAAGTTGACGGAGAACCAGCGGTGGCGGCTGAAATTGAGGGAGAACCGGCGGCGGTGGCTAAACGTGACAGAGAACCGGCGGCGGCGGCCATGGACAATGTCCCTGAACTTGGCGGCGGCCATGGACATGTAACAGCACAAACAAGATTTTTCTTCTTCACAGACAACTACGACACTAATCACAGACAAAGTCATATAAATGCACAAACAAGATTTTTCTTCTTCACAGACGCACAATAGACAATGGATTACATATACCAGTAGTTTTTAAACAACTAGTTAGTTTTTAAGATTAAACTAATAATCTGTAAGCTTAAATTTGCAAAAAAAAAAAATTGTAAGCTTATTGATCACCTCAAAATTACACATTGGCTCTAGTGGTAATCAAAGTAATAAAAGTTTTAGTTATTAAATTACATAAAGTAGTTATTAAAGTCATTTTAAGTGGATGTAAGAGCGGATAACAACACAAACAAGATTTTTCTTCTTCACAGACAACTACGACACAAATCACAGACAAAGTCGTATAAAAGCACAAACAAAGTCGTATTAATGTCATATAACATATTTTGTGAAACATATTTCTTTTTGAAAATGTCTATTTTTCAAACTATACAAAAAAGGATACATAGCACAGACAAATACAACACAAATGAAAGACAAAGTGGTATTACACCATACGTAAATTTTTTCTTCTTCACAGACGCGCTATAGACAATTGATTACATATACTAGTAGTTTTTAAACAATTACGAAGTAGTTACTAAAATAAAAAAGTAAAGTTTGTAAGATTAAACTAATAATCTGTAAACTTATTGATCACCTCAAAATTACACATGGGCACCAGTGGTAATCAAAGTAATAAAAGTCTGAGGTATTAAATTACATAAAGTAGTTATTAAAAATATTGTAAGTGGATGTAATAGCGGATACATAGCACAGACAACTACGACACAAATCACAGACAAAGTCGTATTACAGCACAAACAAGATTTTTCTTCTTCACAGGCAAAGGCATCCCTCATATATAATAACACCATAAACAATAAGTGTTTGCCACAAAAACAAAAAGGCATACCAATTCAGGTAATATGTGGGAGTACATTCTAGGACACTATACAAATTGTTAGTGTAACATTGTACAACCTCCTACATTTAACAACCAAACCCATGGTGGCAAAAAATGAGCACAAAAAATGTACTCCATAGTAAGGTTACATCAATGTTTTACAACCAAACCCAGCCTACATTAAACATGCAGACCCAAAGTAGTCTAAGTGGATCTTCCTCAAAGTCCAGAGCGTCATTGCAAATGCACATCTTTTTGCTGCCATGTTCTCATATGCACACTCGGGCTACAATGGCAAGTTCTGCATCAATGACTCGGCAAATGCCATAACCATCACGTCACAAACACCGGATCTGGACATAAAAGAATTCACACTAACATTACATTTACATTATTTTTGTGTACATACAAACATTATATCCACAAACATTATATACAGACAAACATTATATACTGCCTCCGCTCTCCAAGTGCCCCGTGATTGTAATAAAATAAATCATAAAAGCACAGACATATGTTAAGTCACACAGACAAGCATTCAGCTAGATACAGACAAAGAATTGTAGTGGTTTAGATTTAAATCTTAGTTTGATGTAAATGTGCATGCATGTATTTTCATAGACATTTATGTATTACGACACAAACAAAGTTTGGTCTTCACAGACATAAGACGTGTTTCTGGGCAGACTTTACTGTGTTTCTGAAATGTGTTTGTTTTTTAAATGTATTACAGCACAGACAACTAAGACACAAATTACAGACAAATTCTTATTACAGCACAAACACATTTGTTCTCCTTCATCGACACACAATAGACAATGGGTTACTTAAACAACTACTTGTTTAAATAAACAAGTGCAATTTTTAAAATAAAAGTTATTAAATTAGGATGGGTTTGGATTGCAAGTAATTAAACAATATCAAATTTATAAAGAAAAATATCATTTATAGACTAGTGGTAATCAATTTAATAAAAGTTATAGAATGTTGTAGTATAAATTTAAAAGTATTATTTATATAACTACACAAATCATATATCAATTATTTTTGTAATCAATTATTTTGTATACAGTGGTAAAATATCATTTATAGACTAGTGGTAATCAATTTAGTAAAAATTATAGTTGTGAAATTACATAAACTAGTTATTAAAAATTATTTAATAAGTACGACACAAATCACGGACAAAGTCATTTAACAACACATACAAGATGTTTCTTCTTCACAGGCAAATGAGGGTGTGTAAGAGATCATTACCGGGTTATTCT